ATTTCACGATAGTTGAGGAATAAAATTCACCTAACATTAGGGAGCAAGACAGATATTCAGCCAAAAATGCACCCCACTCAATTTGAAAACTGCATGGAATACAAACGAAAACAAGTGTCTATATTCTTACACGTGAAAATAAAATGACTTCAAATTAAAAAAAATTTTAATGCGACGTTCCTTTTTAGACAGGAATAACGGGAAGCGCTGAATCATTTTTGAAGCAGACTGGCGGAGACTAAAAATTTACTAGTTGTTTTCAATAAACTTTACGCTCGGTTCGATATCTGTTGGCAAACTTATTGGACGAACTTTAAATTTTGACAGGCGGTTCCCACTTTTATTTCATCTAAATTTCCACTAAGAAGAAACGGATCATGGAATTCGTATAATTTCCATCTTCCTACAGTTTATGTTCGATATAGAACAGGTTTTTTTTTCGTTTGGCATTCTCATAACATCTCAATAACATAACATCTCAAACCATAAACATAACATCTCATTTCCCTCTCGTGTTTCAATCAATTAACCTCTTCACAGCATTTTCTGGAGTAACATCACGAAAACTTCATGGTAATTCTTTTTCGTTCTTTTTCGGAGAATTCGTGGGTAATAATGGGCAATTCAAAATAATCTTATTTCGAGCGAAAATACGGTGCACCCGATGACCTTAAAATAAACATGACAGGAATTCCTGGAACGCCGTCTGTTATGCGATACAATCTAGATCAACACCTTTGATTTCATTCGGTTCCCTCCAACGTAAATACAATTCCTCATCAAAGCTTTCCAAACTTCTACGGAACACAAGAAGATTTAATCTATAATCTCCAGAGTAAACATCCGTAAGATCCTCACTCATCTAACGCATGTACTGTACTAAATTTAAATTTCAGTCCAGAAACTGAGTGAAATACTGTGAAGTCTCATCAACTACTGGGTTTAGCGAGTTAGCGTTTAAAAAAAGCTCGTACGTTTCCTGCATCATAAATGTCTTTATAATTTTCCAAATTTTCAGCGCACTGATGAACGAAAATTGAGCACGAATCCCATGATTCTTCATGCAAAAAATTGTGAGTACAGCAGGACAAGACACAAGCATAAATTCAAATTTTCGAGAAAATTTGCAATACCGATCTCTGTGCTCAGCAGCTGCTAATTGACGATACAAAATCTAATGATGCTTTCAAAAACCTACTAAAACAGAGCAAAAAATTGCAGAAGAAAACCTTGTCCGTTGTCCTATACAGACATGACTGTATCGAGGATAAACCATGGCGTTGTTTAATGACCAAAGGCGCAGTTGAAAAAAAAAAACTCGCCTAGAAGCATAAAACAAGCTACAATAAGTGATGAGAGCCTGCTGGGGTTTCCCCGAAAGATGCGGCTTATGCTTTTCACATGCTGTACCCAGGTCGCAATAAAAGCAGCAGATTTGCAGCAAGATCCCAATCCCACGAGAAACCTTTCCCAGACGAGATTCCGTTTGGAAGCTTCCGTCTCAAGCAGTTTGAAGATCCCTGAGCACAATGTAATGGTAGGATTCGGCGGGATCTTCAAGATGGGTCCGAAAGTACCGTGTGTCAGGATCGCGAACGAGTGAAGCTTAGCGATTCATCATTTTGACACCCAAAAGGTTGTCGACTCAAAGGCGATCTGGAAACCAAAATGCTCATAATTGCCATCGAATGATGGGGGTTTCAGGGGAAATTCTGGTACTATAGTTGATCATTTCTCCCGCATCTCTTTCTATTCTTTATGAGACGTACATCAAGAAATTACTGTAGTTTCATTCTCGTTTCGGCGCCGAACAATGTTTGAGGGAATGTCACGCTTGCGCCTTCTTGACTGAAGGTTATCTCACAACTTGACCTGTTTTGATCCAAATTCGTGAACCAAAAGAAAACAACCACAAGTTAAGCAAAATGGATACCTTTTAAATAAAGCAAATCTTGGGAAAATTTGTACTCATCCAATAGAAGTAAAAGTATTTTACCTAAACCACAAGACCTCTTCTATAATTTTCAGCAGGTGTCCAGTTGAACAATAAATCACTCCAAAAAAAAATAAAAACGTGGACGATCATTACATAAACCAACCCATAGAATACCCATAGAACCAACCCATAGCCTAAATATTGAATTCAACCCCTTCAAAGTACGGTACAGCGAAGTTCCAACGACTCCAACAACAAAAAAATAAAAGAAATCCAAAGCCAATTATTTCTTATCATTCCAGCATCCAATTTTGTTTCCTCGAATTTCAGTTGCTGTCGCATAATTCAATAACCTGGTCACACAAAAAACCCCCATTTAACATCAAATTACTCTTAAACTAACTCACGCCGAGCCTGTGTCCGGAGAAACCCATTCATTTCAAGAGAAGGGGAAAAAATCATGTACTGTATTCACAGACATGGAAATTCTAAGGAAAAGAACCCAACATCCCAAACAAGTGACACGGGAATCTCAACCTCCTGAACGATTCATCCCGTCACGCTTCCAGAAAGAGCGAGGAAAAATAGAAGAATGTTCTCTCGATTGTCAGCAGCCGCCGGAACTGATGCCGTTTCCGCGACCTTCCCGGGGCATCAGGAAATATCCCTGTTCGTCCTCAGACCAGGTTTTAGCTCTTCCCTCCCCATTCCCGAGGCTTTCAAAAGCACCAGAGAGAGAGAGAGAGAGAGAGAAAGAGCGACAGGAAAAGGATTCGCCCGACAGCGACGGGGTACTGAACAAGCTGCGCACATCTTCACCAGCCTCCGCCATGAATAATTCCGCGCGAATTGATCCATACAAATCTCACCGACGACTGGCACCAAAAAAAAAATAAAAATAAAAAATAAAAAGGCGATGGAGAAAAAAAGTTTGCAGGGGTGAGTCAAGTTCGAGCGAGAAGTTCTCTCGCTATGCTTTCGAAGGCAGCAGTGCATGATGGATACGTCTTCAAGACCACAACGCCCTATTTCGTTTCTTTCCCACCTTTTTTATTCCGGCCGCAATTACGAAGTTACTTCCTTGTAAGACCGACGCGAAAGAAAAGGGCGCAAAGAAGCTGCTCTCTAGGGAAGCGTTGGCCAAGTGGGGTGACCAACTGCTCGGAAAAAGCCAAGAAATTAAATTTACCAGGGAGAAAACATTGATTTCCATTTTTGAAATTCACGAGTACTTGAATACGTCGGATTTCTGACGAGAGTTGCCGTCATTCGAAGAGGCCTTGTCAATATAAATCACGAGACTTCGCTAAAACCTGTCCAATTTCCGAAGCTCAGTATTATCAAGGATCCGAGCTACTCTTTCGATAAAGATAAAAACAACAGAAGCTATTTTCCATCTTCGTCAATCATTATCAATTTCAATATTCCAGGACTTGTTTCAATTGAACTTATCTCAATAAGTTGCAGCTCCAACAAAATTGAGAATAATTCAAGCGACAGAAAAAAAGAAGAAAAAACGAGGCAAAACCTTGAGAAAAGACTTTTACAGGGTGAACCAAACAAATATCAGTATTTTAAGCTGAGGCATCCCCTAAAAAGTTTGAGCTTGAGAATAAAAAGGTCGCACAAAATATCATGGCATTCTTCCGGTTAAATTTGACTTCGATTTGGGTTTCTTCTGGTCTATTTATTTATAGTTATGCACGCCTTTAGATGCCAGGCAAATATCCGGCGGATCCATTTTCCATTACAGTATTTCAAATTTATATTTGAATGTTGCCGGAGCCTTTTTAAAATTCGTTGATGAATTTCTAATAAGATTATGATGCCTAAAAATATCGGACTTCCGGCAGATGCTGAAGTCAAATGACTTGAATTACAATATAAACTCCTAAACTTAGTCCTGACTGAAAACCCTGACTTATTCCTGGGATGGGATAGAACCCTTTGCTGCAGAAGGGCTAAGAAGAGATCATAATTCATCCAGAGGTACAATAATTAACGGTCCTTACTGTGATTAAAGCTGGTTTGTTCTCCTAATTCTTTCTATGGCTTTTTCCTTGCGCAGTAGCAAAAATTTCCCTGTCATGTTTCATCAGTTATTCTCCATTTAAAGTTATTCGATTGTAACTATCCATCAAGATTTGGTTTTTTGCGTTTTTCAGCAATTGACACAAGATTAAACATGGGGGAAATGAAACGAATGCAAAAAACGTTGGGGCCAGTCATTGCAACACAAGCTTCGGAACTGATTTCACACCTTGCTGAGAGTCCTGATGTCGGCGTTCGAATTTCAGAGCCTATCAAAAAGGTTGGAGAAATATCTTATTCATAATTACCCAAACAGATGTTAGCCACATCCATTGAGAGAGAAATGAACTACTGCTAGGGAAGGCCATTTTTTGTGCCATTAGCTAGCATTTGCAGTTCAGGTTCACTGGGATAGTTATTTCTTGACCACTAGATGTTGAAAGTGCATGAAAAATGTCTCAATTTCCTGAATGAAACTTGCCTCCAGCATTCAAAAATCAACAACAAAAAATGAGCTGAACACTCAAAAATGATTTACATCTTCGCCTCAATTACAGTTTTATAATTTCCTCGTTATTCGGGGGACGAATCAGTAACTTGAAAGACATTTCTTCTTTGAAATTGTTGAGCAAATACAGTACTGTAAATTGCTTCCACTTCTGATGGCGAAATTTCAGTTCTCTGCCAATAGATGTCGCTTGTGCATGAAGCCTGCCTCAATTTCCTGAAGGAATTTGCTTTCTTTCTGAATTCAAAAAATCGACGCAAAATATAATGAGATGGGCATTCAATAAACATTCACATCCGTGTTTTGATATCATATCCTGATGTCCCTGCTTATTTTGGGAACGAATTTGATAATGTAAAGAGATTTCTTCATCATTATTTTTAAGAATATAAATTCAAAAGAAGAACAGAACTAACGACTTACGTCCACGGCTAACCACACCACATGCTCGTTCTTAACGGACTACTACCTCTGGGATACTATAAAAAGGCGCTTTAGCGTCGTTGCGCCATAGTAGTTTAATACATGCTAAAACGTGATATTTTGCGAAGAGAAAAGAAAAATATCGGACTTCGGGCTGATGCTGAAGTCAAACGACTTGAATTGCAATACAAACTCGACGTTGAGCGAGACCTTGAGGTTTTTCCTCTTCCTTTTTTCTAAAAAAAAATATTTCCGAAAATTTATTCAATTTATTGATTTTCAAAGGCTAGTTTTCCAGAAGGAACGCAAACCGCAAATCCTCATGACGTGTCTTGTGTCATGTTGGATTCATTGAAAAGCAACGTTGAAGCTTTAGAGGCTTTGTTTAAAGTACGAGAAAAGAAGCTCAAGTTCAAGGTGGAGCAATTTCATACCTTGAATCGGAATCCAGACGTTTCTCACATCATGTGCATGAAGGTAATGCTTTCATTAATTGTTATTGACATAATTTCGAAATTAATTCACTTCGGTCCATAATACATTACAGTATTGGAATGAACTGTTAGTTTTTCACATTTATCAAAGATTACGTTTCTATCTGATGAAATACACAAGGCTTTCGTTTCATATAAGTAATTTTGAATATTGTACGAGTATACGCCTCTTGATGGCGGATTCCATATAAACATAATTTCTTGATTACTTCAAAATTTTCTGTGATTTTCAAAAAATTTCCTCACTCAGATTTAAATCGGATGTAGACGGAGACGTGAGAGTGTATATTCCAAAGCCAACTTTTTTAATAATGAGCAAATACAAGATGAAAATCTTCTGAGAGCCAGTATTTAAGGCCTGAAACTTTAGTTCCAGGGGAAAATTTCAACTCGGCAGTTTTGTGTTACACGTAATTTTTAAATAATTTTCTCCATTACTTCCTCCTTTTTTGGGATGTTCAAATGTTTCCTCTCATCCAGATTTAAATAGGGTGAAGACAGCGCCGTGGAAAGGAATAATTTAAAATCAAATTCTTTTTTAACGTGCAAACGTTGAAAATCTTCCGAGAACAACTATTTTCAACCTGAAAATTTAGTTCCAATGGACAAATTTCAACTCGGAAGCGAGTGTGCAACACATGAATGAATGAATCATCCGAAGTCAGCTTAGACTCCAAGTTTTCAAATGCCTTGTAAACTACAGAAGATTGCTTCACATCCTGCGCCGCTTTCCATGATTCTGTTTCAGACATCTGAGAAATCAAAAAAATGTTGATTTCAATGAAATTGTGCAGTTTATTTGCTCTATATCGCTCTAAAAAAATAAGGGCTAAATTTTATAATACACATATAAAATTATTAAAATAATTTTCATTTTCATCAGGCAGAAGCCCTAAAGATGGAGAAGCGCGTGGAGAGGGTCTCTGAACGAACCAGAACCCTGGAAAAGCTGGCCAAAGTCATAAAACTCAAACTCGTCGACGTTTTGACAATGTGGGACGAGAGCATGAGGGAAACTGGCGACTCACTCAGAGCAGCGAACGCTCTTTTGAGCAAAATTTTCCGCGAGGGCTCTGAAACAGATTCTTCTTTCTACAAAGAAGCCGTGCAATTGCTGACTGAAGCTGGGGTTCAGCATCCCATCAGAACCCTGAGAGAAGACGTTTTACAATGCCTGAAAATCTTTGTTGAAGGCATGGAGAACCTGAAGGGGATTAACGCCAGGTTCGATGATGTTCCTGCCTGGACTGAAGACTGAATTCGTCTCGTGGTCAATTCTTTTTTTCTATTGTTTCATTTATATTGAAATCAAAAACAGCTTTTGATATTGCTTCATGTGAAGAAAATGTGGCTGCTTCTGTATGAGGACTCCGAATTATTTTAGGTCCACTGTGCCGGAAAATTGAACTGAGCTTGAAATTATTCCAACAGGTGGCAGACGAAAAGCTCCCAGAAAAAAAAGGAATTTATTAGAGGATGCCCAGCAAAAATTTCAACTATCACCCATTGTTCTGGCATGTTTTGTATACTCCATATTTCAACCTGAATTTTGCTTCTTTTTTTCTCGGCTTGAACCTTTAAATTCTCTGAATTGAATGATCATAAATTGATCAAACTTTGCATTCGTTATTACCAGATGAAGTTTTTTTTACTTTACAGATTTGAGGTTTTTTTCATATACTTGTAACGTAGTATTATTTACACAGGATGTACATTCTACGTAAAACGTAAATCACGAAGAAGTATTTTGTGATTCTTTAAGTTGGTGTATTCTGTTGAGCAGGACTTTTTCTTGATTTTTTTTTTTCATCTGAGGCTATTTTCCCTCCTGGAATTATGAGCCAATACTTCCGCATTTTTCCTTTGCCAAAAGTGCAGGCTTTTTTGTTCCCAGAATTTTTGTGTTTTCATTATTGGTTATTTTTGTCAACATTTTTTGAAAAAAACTATAGGCAAACAATAAAATGGGGTTGAAGAGCAGAACATTTTCTCTGCTCACATTTTTCGCATCACCTTCGTCTTCTTATTAAATATTTCAAATAATTGATGCACCGAAGATACTTAGATGAGCGCACTTTTTCTGATACAATGAAAGACGTCACTCGAGCAACGTCTTTCTCATGGACTGTAGTCATAATGCGCATGAGCGTTCATCAGTAAAATATATGCCTTGAGCCGTACTGTAAAGCGACGAAGGACGTTCTTGGAGACCGGGTTGTCTCGAATAGCCACGGGGGCCATCTTTAAAAGGGAAGGAACCCGGGGAACCCACGCGGGGTCACGTCATGTGCAATTCATCGTCATGGATCCGTAGGTGCGACAGAAGGGAAATAAATCTGCAGAGGAAGGACAAGAAACTAGGCGTCGAGATTCATATCGGATTATTTTCACTCGCATTCGCGCTCCACACGACACCGGCCCTTTTAGGCATGACTGGCGAATAAAAAATAAATAAATAAGCACGTAGATAAAATGAAGACAGAAGAAGAGTTGTATCTTGAAGAAAGTCTTATTTCTCAGGAGCATGTTGATATACAACGACGGAATAAGGCGTGTGATTACGATCCTCATATATATTCCTCGTTGACTTCTACTCGTCCCACCTATGTTCAAAGAAAGAAGAATCAATTATAAAATGTTTATAGCCGTTGTTGTTGGAAAAATAGCCTATACGAAGTTGTGAAAGCCATTTTGTTGTTGCTGTTGCCTCGTTTGATACATCTCGCGATCCTATCAACTGGATGAACCCAACTTCGTATACGTCCTGCGGTCACAAAACTTCGAAGAACCACGCCTCTTGGAATGCATAGAAAATCTTATTAACCGAAAGTTTTCGCGAAAAAGTTCATATCCTTGAACATATTCACATGAAATTGTATCAAGGAAAACTTTTTCAAAGAAGTCCTTATCCTTGAATATCCACATTAACGCTTAAAAAAAATAACGAGAGATCACTTCGCGGCACACGAGAGTAGAACTCTTCCGAGAAAAGATTGTTCATCGCCATGTTTTTTTTGTTTGACTAATTGGAATCATCTCAATTGGAACAACAATTTACACATTTTCGTGCTTCAAGTAATGTTTTTTACCGGTGGTAATTTTCATAGCTGCAGGAACAGTGGCTGCACTCGCAACCCGTGATGATCATAACCAGTTGGAATAATTCCACTAAAAATAATTATGAATACTGCAGCAACCTATAATAAAAATATTGTACTCGTAAAAGTAGGTACGTATTAGGATGCAGCTTGACTCATGAAATCTGCATTTTCATTCTTCTTATTTTTAAAAAGCCTAAAGTAAAGAATTTTGGCCATCCGAGCTAATTGGTCAGGATACGAAGAAGATATGTTGAATACCTGCATAGAAATCACTCAAGGCAAGACAATTTTCTTAATGAGCGAGGAAATAACTGTAATTACATCTGTATTTAGTTTGAGTTCACTGAAATTTCTAATCCTCCCGCAGAACCCCGATTCCATACGAAATGCGGAGCGAATTAAAAATCTGCAGTCACGAAGAAAACCGGAGCACTGACTCTGGCTTTTGTGAATGGGTCCGTGAAGGCCTTTATCGTCAAATAGGGGTGTACCCGTGCCCAGTTTTACAAATGTTTCGTAAAAGCAAGTAAGAAAAAGAAGATTCGGGACCAAATTCCGCTCGTTCGCGCAAACACTTCATATACTGTATGTTTCCTTTCATACAGCCTCAAACTTTTTTTCTATCCAATTTTACTGTGACAAGATGTTGGAATGGTTCTCCGTGATTCCAAGGAAAAGATTTTCTCTCCTTTTAGTCGAGAGACGTATTTTCCTTGTCGCTGTGCCGCGTGTAAATGTTTGCTGTGTCGGAGTGGAGACGATTTCGTCGCACCAAAGTTCTTCTCGAACATGGACCAGATTTCGCCATTCCATTCCGAAGTTCGCAGAGCTTACACATGAAGTTCAATGCGATATGGAACATCCTTCCAATATATATTCCCTTTTAAAGCGTACTCTGTAGAAAGGCCTCAGGGAGAACGAGCATAAAGAGTAGAGCTATAGCTTTTGATTGAAAGCTCTCGACGAGGGGCCTGATATTTCTCTCCCGTATGAACGAGAAGATCAGAGTTGCTGCTTCCGACAACGCTAGAATAATAATTCTCTTCTGGTCCCCTTCACAGAGAAAAAAAAATTTTCCGTTGAAATATTGGAATCGGGTACGAAAATAGACGATTCACGCTTCTTTTTTTTTTCTATGCTTTTATTTTTTGAAGAAACCCTCGTAAATTTTGCGAAATGGCGCGGCGCCGCCCAACTTTTGCCAATATCATGGATTCAGTTCCGAAGACACACGAGTGAGTATCTTGAATCTATTTCCAAAGTAAGATAAGTTCCCCCACAGGTGTCATTGAGATGAACAGCCCAATTCGGAGTGGGGTCAGGCTTTGCATTTACCGAAAAGATCAATGAAGAGACCGTGGGTGTAAATTCGTGGGCTTCAGCCGAAGGACAGAATGGAACCGGGGAAATCGAACCCTTCCGAAGCTGGACCCAATCCCCCGAACTCCAACAGTGACAGCACTCAGCCCGACTCCGACTGGCCTGATTCGACCGATAGTCAGCAAATTGCCTTCACTTTGGCTCCTATATAAACAAGGTAATTTTTGCAAAAGCTCTAAAATATATTGAAAAAAAAGAGTACAATGTTCAGAGGTTATCCCAGAAATGGACACTCGGCGCGATATTCTGAGGATTTATGAATAAATCGTGATAGGGATCATTTCGGTGCACACGAGTCGATCAGGTACCAACAATCTTGTCTTCAAGGACCTGAAAAACAATCCGTTGTATTGAGAATATCGCTGTGGACATCACTTCATCCTACTGAACAACACATACCAAAGACAAACAATGTCGTGAGAAAATACGGAATGTGATGCACGCTTCGAGCTTTGCTAGGAATTTAAAATCAGTCTTCTTTTGAATTTCCATTTATAGCCGACAAATCAACGATGACTTGAACCGATAGGCTTCGTAAAACGAAAAACATGACCCCATCAAAACCCGAAAATGTCACGTTTCCGCACGATGATGTGACGATCATGCCTTTTTCTTCAGTCTGATTAGATAAAAATACTTTTTTCAGATTTCCACGAAGAAAACTCGGGATACTCCGAAATCCCGAATTCATTTCCTAAGCGTTGCGTAGCATTACGTGGAATAATCCCAGAATGGTGCTCTGAAATGAACTAGCTTGACTCGCCACAGTGGTCGGGAAGAAAAGCGGGACTTTTTTTTCTCTCTCTCTCTCTGGATCGTAATGAGTCGTTATGGTCCGGAGAAAAGAAAGAAGGTCGGTGATTCTGCCAGAATTTTATCTCCGTCCTCGTCCCGAGAGGGCATTTCAACTAAATGCAGCCATAGACAAGCGGAAACTTGGCAGACGCACATCCGAGAGAGGGGTTATGCCCCAGAGCGCGATCGAGTTGCTGAAACCGCAACCAACACGAGTAAGCTGCAGCAGCCTGCTTCAGACACATTCGACGCAAACATACTCAAGAAGGAAGAGAATTCGTCCAAAAACACATTAAGAAAAAGGAAGAAAAAAAGAGATGAACAGCGTTGAGTGGGTCTCGCTGTCAAGCTCGCTGGCTAGAAACTGTTCGTCCTAAAGACCCGTGGCAAGGATAAGAGAAAGCCAAACATCAAGACGAAAGCAAAAACGTCTGGTCCGTCATAAAAAACAAAAACAAACAAGGGAATCATGACTGTGATTGCGCATAAAAAAGGAAAACTACTCGGATAAGCTCTGGCTTTCTGCGACATATTTGGCACTGCTATCAAACAGCGGTGCAAAAGAAGAAAGACCTCAGAAAGCTTCTCCCTCCAACTATCCCAATATCTTATAAAAGTTGAAGAGCGAAATTTTTTACAACAATTTCACTTTCAGCGAACCCCGCTCCTGAATTCATTGTGTAAAATTTAGGGGTAACTTCAAATACACTACTGTACTCTCTTCAATTAGTATGAAGTACTGTACTGTAGAATGCAGCAGAGACAATTTTGTCATACAGAAGGAAAATATTCCCGGGAGTGGTTTACAACGTGTTTGCCGCGAGTCAATTGTTCGTTGTTTTTCTTTCGAGAAATCGGTCACTAAAACTGAAATAATTGCGGGCACAGTTTTCATTATTCGGGGCCCACGGGATTGAAAACAATCTTCTGTCTGTCGCAATTCTTTTTCTCCGACAGTCTGTCTAAAAGTAGTGAAAATTTTTAAAGTTTCAAAACCAAAATATTTTTATGAACAAAAAATTGCTGCCTGCTGGCTGACGAGGGTAATTTGAAGGCGTGTTCAAGTGATTAAAAAAGCTCAAAATT